CCCCATCGTCGTCGTATAAAAAAAAAAAAGTCATGCTACAAAAAAAAAATTATGCGATAGGAAAATGATAAGGGAAGAACAGAGAGGGGTAGGGAAAAGGGGGAAATGGATAACTAATAACATAAAATGTTTTTCTATTGTCATAATAAAAAATTCGTATTACTAAAGGAAATATAATGAGATTTACATTTCGTGACTTATTGAAAAAAAAAAAAAAAAAAAAAAAAATTTATTAAATGATTATCATCATCATCATTATTAATAATAATAATAAAAACGTTAATATTTAATAAGGTTTCCGTGGGAAAAAAGAAAAAAAATATCGACGAGAATAATAATAATAGTAATAATAATAATGATATTGGATGATACGAAAAAAATATAACAAACAATGAAAAAAAAATTTGTTTTTTGTTTCTCCCATTTGTTAAAATTTGAAAATTAAAAATTACGAATAATAATAATTAATTATTATAAAAAATTAAATTGTTAACATATTTATATAATAATGATAATAATGATAATAATAATAATTTCAAAAGAATTAAAATCGTGCAACGCAATCGAAAAAAAAAAAATTAAATTATTACTAAAGTAATAAATTATTTATCACGTTTTTATTTATATCCTTTTAATTTATTAATAATATAAAGGATTTAATAAAAAAACGAATAAAAGCACACACACACACACACGCACACGCATAAATAATAATAATAATAATAATAATGATGATGATAATACCGTGTTTTAAAATAATAAAAAATAAATGATAGTAGTAAAATATATAAAATAAAATAAGTAAATAAAAGATCGAAACAGTAGTAATGGTAATAATAATAATAATTCAAATTTTTTTGTTTTTTTTTTGTTAGTTTTTGTTTTTGTTGCAACATAAAAAAAATGTTTTACAAAATTCATCAGCGTGTTATTAAAAACAAAACATAATTTTTTGTTTATTTTCATTGAAAAACATAAATTTTTATCAACTTTTTTATTATTTGCGGTTATTATTAATAAAATAGAAAAAGAAAAGAAAAAATACGCGGAAGAATTTTTATTTTTTTTTTCAAAAATTTAGTTTTTTCCCGCCAAATCGTGCGAATTTAAAAAAAATTTCCAAATGAGTTTTAAATTAATTACGTAGATTAAAATTATTTAAAATTAATTAATTAATTAATTAATTAATAATAATAAAACGATTGGGAATTTATTTTTTTTAGTACGTCAAACTACAAAGTTTTCAAGTTTCTTTTCTTTTTTATAAATATTTATTTATTCATGACGTTTATTATTATTATTATTATTATTATTATTATTATTATTATTATTATTATTATTATTATTATTAGTATTATTATTAGTATTAGTATTTGTTTAATTTAAAAAAAAATTATTCGTAAATAATATTAATAATAATAAACGTTTAAAAAAAACTAAATAACTTACCGTTAAAAATAAAATAAAATAAAAAGAATTTTCTTTTTTCCGAACAAAAACATTAATCGATCGTTAATAACAATAATGATAATAATAATAATAATAAAAATAATAATAATAATAATAAAAATAATAATAATAACAAAAAAAAATTCACGGCATTGATAACAATCCGACCGATGGTTGTTGAATACTAAAACTCGCGTAAGTAAAAAAAAAAAAAAAAAAAAGAAAAAAAAAAACAAGTTGGTATATCGTGTTTGTGTTCCAGTAACTGGAACAGTAGGTAGTAGCAGCCCTACTACTCGCCGAGTACTCGTTGTTATTTACAATTTTTTTTCTTTTTTTTTTTTTTTTTGTCGATTCGATAAATTAAATTTTTATTTTCGATTTTTGTAAAAAAAAAAAAATTTTTTTTCTCTCTTTCTATAATTTCGGGGCAGGAATCACAGACGATAAAAAACGAAACCCCGACGTAAAAAAAAAATAATAATAATAATGTAATTTCAAAAAAAAATTTTTTTTTTTTTAATTTCGAAAAACTGCGACAAACTCATGGAATGATGACATATATTTAATTTCTAGAAAATTCCTTTTCAATTTTTTTTTTCAATAACAATACTTTTTTATTATTATTATCGATTCGTTTAAATTTTTTTGTTTTTTTTGCAATGCGTTCCAGCATAAATTTTATGGATTTTTTAAATAAATTATTATTATTATTATTATTATTATTATTATTATTTATTAATAGAATGAGTGATTTTCTGTAACGGTTAACGCATAAAAAAAAATATTATTAAAAAATCAATTAATGAAGTTTTTCTCTCTCTCTCTCTCTCTTTCTCTCTCTCTCTCTCTCTCTCTCTCTCTCTCTCTCTCTCTCTCTCTCTCTTTCTCTCTCTGTGGTAATAACAATCGACAAATTTTTTTTTTTTTTTCTTTTTCGTTTTTTTGTTTGTCTCGAATCCAAATTTTCACGGTAAAATGAACGTGAAATGAATGAAAAATTCGTTTTTTTTTTCCCTTCGTGAAAACAATCAACCGGAATTATTAGTATTATTATCATTATCATTATCATTATTAAGTTAAATCGTGAAAGTATAATTTTCCATGTCGAAGATTTTTTTTTTTTTTTTTTTTACTCAAAGTCGTTAAAATTGACTTTTAATATTTTTTATTTCGTCATCATCATCATCATCATCATCATCGTGTCTTTATGCCGTTTTTTTTATGTTTTTTACTTACGACCACAACGACCAATTTTTCTGATTTTGAACCGCCCCTCCCCTCCTTCTCCCATTTTCCTACCTCCCGGGCTTATTCCCTCCTCCCCTTCCCTTCCCTTCTCTTTTCCTTCTTCGCAAAATGCCTTCGTTCGATCCCATTTTTAAAAATTGTTATCATTAATTTATTATTATTATTATTATTATTATCATTATTCTTGTTAAAAACCGTTAGCTTTCTAACCTTTTCCTTTCACAAAAAAAAAAAAAAAGACGAAATTTTATTCCACGACGTTCTGGAAATTTAAATAATTTTTTTTTTTTCCCCCAATAAGTATTTAATTTTACGTTTGTTTTTTTTAAAAATCGATTTATTGATATTTCATCGATCGATATTCAATAGTAATAATAATAATAATGATAATTGATTGTCGAAATGATTGCCTTAATAAAAATTACATTGAAGTTGATGATAAGAAAAAAAAATAAAATTATTATTTATTAAAAAAAAACCGTTAATAAATATTTTTATGTAAGAAAGTATTATTATCATTATTATTATTATTATTATTATTATTATTACCGTCGGTTTCTTTTTGTTTTACTTGGCTAACTTTTTTCCTTTGTTTTATCTATTAATAAAAAAAAATTTTTTATTGATTGGAAATTGTTTAAAGTAAAAACAGAGAAGTGACGAGTATTATTATTAGGTCGTGAAACCGGTCATTGTTTGTTAATACCACGTTTACTTTTCTTTTATTATTATTATTATTATCATTTGGTTTTTTTGTTGTTTTTCGATTTCGAAACGAATTAATTTTACAACAAAAAAAAAAAAGAAATTTTGTAATTTCCGTTTGGAAAACTGTGGACTACCGATTGAAATTTTAACGTGTCACATTATTTGAATACACGTAAGCGAAACATTTAAATTTGTTAATGTTTACAACATGTTTGAAATCATAGAGAGGAGTTAAATGGTCGTGGAAGAAGACAATACGTTAGTTAGTTAAGTTTATGGAATTCGGTATAAATCATTGCAATAAATTCGGGAGCCGCCATTTTAAACTGGTTAAAAGAAATTATTATTATTAATTATTTGAGCGACCGAGTTGAAAAAAAAAAAAAAATTTTGAGATTAAGGAGGGTCAGCAGAAAATGGGGTCAGCTAAAAAAAACGCGGGATATTTATTGGGTATCTATTGACCGGTTGTTGTTATAATAAAAAAAAACTAGAAACGAATTCCGTGTCAAACGTATATCATATAACAACAATTTTTATTTTTTATTTTTATTTTTTAATATCCGCGTTAAACTTGTGTTGAATTTTTATTATTATTATCGTTTTCGTTTTACGGTTAATTTTTTTTTTAAATTTTGGCGGGAAATTCAAAAAAAAAAGGGGGGGGGAGGGAAATCGAATCGATTCGAAAATAAATAAAAACACACCAAAACGTAAAAATTTATTTATTTATTTATTTTTATTTATTTATTTAATTTTTTTTTTGTTCGTTTTATTTATTTACTAAGTATATAATATTTATATATATGTACATAAAATTATTAATTTTTTTTGTCTTCTTACGCTTAATAATAATAATAATAATAAAAGTTGAGAATAGTAAAAATAATAATAATAACGAAAATAAAATTAAAATTCGCGCGCTTTTTTTTTTTACGGAGTTGCACGTGCGTCGTGTGCGTAATCGTTCTTAATCTTTTATATAATTAATAATAAAATTTTTCAATAATAATAATAATAATAATGATAATAATAATAATAGTAAATTTAAATCACATTCGACGTTTAATTTTTGAAAAAAATTAAAAAAAAAAAAAAAATTCGTTTTTTTTTTGATCACAGCATTTTTAAAAAAAATTTTTATTTTCTAATTTTTTAAAATTTAAATTTAAAAGAAAATAAAAGAGAAAATTTAATTTTAAGTTGTTAATAACTAATTAATAAATATTTATTTGTTTTTTTTTAAATAAAATTTTGCTGTCGGAAAATTTAAAAAATAATAATCGGGTTAATGCGTAAGGGTTGAAAGAATGAGGAGAACCACGTGGAACGTTGAATCGGACGTGACGATAAACAAAAAAAAAAAAAAAAAAAAAAACGTGGTTTTTAATTTAAGACGTGGCGCAAGATTTTTCGAAAACGTTGATATAAAAAATAATTTTTTTTTTTTTTTTGGAAAAACGCTCATTATAGGGTTTTTTCCACAACGGGTAACTAAAATTTTTTTTTTGTATAATAGGATTGTTGTAAATTTTTTTTCGTTTTTTTGTTCGTTTTTCGATAAATTAATTAATAATTTTTTTTCTAAATGTTTATCGTCTTCTACTTGGTGGCGGGGCTGCTGTGTGGTGCATGCATCCTTCAACGTTTTCCGGCCAATCGCAAACGTTTTCGTTTGGATTAAATACTAAATTAGCTGGACATGGCATGTGATGTTTTCTTTCTCCCTCGCACATGTAATACATTCTACAATCTGCTTTGTCTTTGTGGTAACTTATGTGACCGTCTTCTTCTTCGCAAACAACTTCATTTGCTGTAATCATTATTTCATTTTTTTTTTATTAGTACTAAACAACCGTCACGAAATCAGTCAAAGAATGAATGAATGAATGAATCACTTACGATCTTTGGTCGTGTATTGTCCGTTAGGGTTCGAGCTTTCGTACGGTCCGTCGTATTCGAGTTTAACTTTGTAATTTTCGAGTTCGGATTTCATGGATTTTATCAATGGGTATTTTCCGGTTCCGCAATGACCCTTAAAATCGTCCATGTCGACAGACCATATCATTATACCACCGAAACCTTCTTCCTTTAACCATTCCATCTGCGAAAGAAAATTTTATTTATTATTCATTTTTTCATAGTTTTTTAATAAGGGAATGAAAAAGTTTTAAATCAGGTACCTTAGTTTTTAAACTTCTTTCGTCGTCGAAACCGACCCATTGATCTTCTTTGTAAGCGAAAGGTACTTGTTGTTCATTGTCCCAAACCAACGTCGTGTTATCTTTTTGCAAGAAATCGCAAACCTGAATTTAAAAAAAAAAAAAGAGGTTTTAAAATTAGTCATTGGTTTTTCGTCGAATTAATTTTGAGACGATGATAAAAGTACGCACTTCGTAATAGCTCATAAATCCAGCTTCTCCCGTATATTTACCAGGAGTACCACCACCGGAAGCCGGAGCACCGATATCAAATTGACTTTCATTGACAAGAGTGAAAGATCTACCGTACGTCGGCATACCGATCATGAGTTTTTCCTTTGGAGCCCCTTGTTTCACCCATTCTCTAGCGCTGTAATCCTTTTAAAACAAAATGATGACGTCATTAATTTAAATAAAATTTTAACCGGAAAAAAATTAATATATGTATACTCACGACGGTGAGTTTTTTTTGATAGCTCGTTGCGCTGTCCAATGAATAAAGTGGAGAATTATGACCGACTTGTCTTTCCCATTGACCGTGGAAATCATAAGTCATGACGTTTATGAAATCTAAATATTTAGAAATTTCTGGAACGTCGTAACTAAAAAAAAAACAAAAAAAAATTGTTGAAATCGAATTTTTTGAATGAATGAAATTTATTTTTATTCTTGTTATTATGTATTTATACCCGGCAGCAATGGCTTCGAAACTAGCTGGTACAGCAGCTGATAAAAGTAATCTCGGTTGATTTGAACTTTTAGCTTCACCTTCGAATGCCAATCTTAATTCTTTTAATAAGTTTACGTAAGATGAACGATCGTCTGCTCCTCTAAAAAAAAAATAGTATAAAAGTTATTATGTTAGGCCTTGTGGTGGTGGTGGTCGTGGTGGTGACATACGCGAACGTGTCATTATCTACCTTGGATATTCCCAATCCACGTCTAAACCGTTAAATTTATATTCTCTTAAAAATTCAATGGCTTCGTATACGAATTGATTCATTCTGAACGTGTTCGATGTGAGTTCTTTAAACGGAGTAGAACCGAAAGCCCAACCTCCGATGGCAAGAAGAACCTGAAAAAAAAATTTTTTTTTTGTTAAATTTATTACACGTGGCAATAACGCGAAGAAAAAGTGATAGGAATAATAATAATAATAATAAACCTTAAGATTTGGATTCTTTTCTCTTAAAGCAACAACACGGTCGTACATTTCTCCATCTTTATCGTCTGCTTCGGATAATTTGTGATTTTTTAACGTGGCAAAAGCATAAACTACGTGCGTGCAAAGACCGGCGTCGACGTCTTCCGGTGTAAATTTTCCAGCGCCCGGACGTTTTTGCGACCAACTTGTCATGTAACAGAATACTTGAGGGTCTCGTTCTGTACAAAAAAAAAAAAAAAAAACAAAATTTTTGTAAATTGATTTTTTCTCGCAGAGGACACATCGTTCGGTACGATAAGGTCACAAGGGGGTCACACAAAGTCGTTTGAACGATTGCAAATTTTCGGGAAAAAAAATTTTTTTTTTTTATCAAAACAAACGAATTACCGTTGGTGGACGTGATGACGTTTTCAACAGTTTTAGCTTTCGTAGGTTTTTTAAATTTACTCAACAAATCGGAAACGTCAATTTTAATCGGTTCCGGTTTTTCGATATTAACTTCGACAATTGAATTAGCAACTTTACTCCAATCAATGTCTTTAGCATTGTTTTCTCTCGGTATGCCCAACAATTCTTCTCTGTAAACAATATTATTATTATTATTATTATTATTAATTAATAGAAATTTAATTAATAAAATAACTTTTTTTTTTACATTCGTTAAATTTCACTTATTAATTAATTAATTAATTAATTAACGTAAAACAATGGTTACGATAACAAAAAAGAAAGAAAAAAAATGTGATGTTAATTTGTTTTGTTTTCCATTAAATTTTCACTCGTGACACGTTTCGTAATTTAAAACCGCCATTTTTCTTTTTTCTTTTCATTAATTCCCATTGTTTTTTTTTATACATAACAATATATAATTAAATTAACCTCATGGCTCCTATGAGTGGATATTTAACTTTTCCACCGCAAATTGTTCCAGTGAAATCGTCCATGTCAACGGTCCAAACCATGGCTCCACCAAAACCGTTAGATTTTAACCATTTCATTTTATGTCTTATTGATTTTTCATCGTCGAAACCGACCCATTGATCACCATCGACGAGATAGGGTACTTTCATTTCATCGTCCCAAATGTAAGAAGCTCCTTTTCTTAACATTTCGCAAATCTAGAAATTATTGAAAGGCGTTTTATAGCGAAAAATTAAAAAAAATCGCGAAATTTTTTCTTAACCGGGGATTAGCATTATGTAAAATTGTATATAAATTTTTTACGGTTTATGGGATTATTTCAAAAATGGGGGGATTAATTTAATTCCTTAAGGTGTGGCTCCCCCGTTTTTTTTTTTTTTTTTTGCCCTTCATGGAATTAATTTTTAAATAAGGAATATATAAAAGCATAAATAATTAAATAAAAGGTGTCGAAAACAGAAAAAAAAAAAAATTCTAAACGAGATTTAAAAAATTGCTCAACTTTAAATTTTTCTTTTGCACCGATTTTTACGGTTAAATAATTTAACGGCCTTATAAATTTATTTAAAAAAAAAAAGAAAACGTAATCAAACGGGCATTGTTATTATTATTATTATTATTATTATTATCAATATGGGCGTTATGAGAGAGTTATGAAAATAATTTAATTTCGGGTCATTTGAAATGAAATAAGAAAAAAAAATGTTTTTGTGTCCGCCATTACTCAACGGACAAAAAAAGAAAGAAATGAATTATTTTTCAATGTCGAAATAAAAACAATGTGCGTATTTTATGTGCGTATCAGGTGAATTTTTTTTTTCTTTAAAATTTATTATCGCCAAAACAAAACAAAACAAGGTAAAATTTAAAGGCGTGGAATTAAAATTTACCTTCCAGGCTTATGCCACGATAAAAAAAAAAAGTCACGTAAATGAAAATGAAATTTTTTTTATTTTAAAAATGGTAACTGGTGGTATTTAAATATACTTCCATCTAATAATATTCGATTTGTGTTGTGTGTATGTAATGTGACGTGTCAATAGAGGAATCTTACGCTTTATTATTATTATTATTATTTACATAATTAAAAACGATTCGTGACGATGCATGATTAGAAAGTTTATAATCGGTAGGTAGGTAGGTAGGTAGGTAGGTAGGCAGGTACAAACCTCGTAATAAGCTAAAAATCCTCCTTCTTTCGTGTATTCTCCAGCTTTACCACCGCCGCTCGCCGGACTGTTTACCTTATAAACTTTTGGATTCGATAAAGTGAAAGTTCTACCATATGTCGGCATTCCGATGATCAATTTGTCTTTGGGTGCTCCCAAACGTACCCACGTTCCAGCAGCGTTTTCGACGGATAATTGTTTTCTCCATTCGCTGTCGGATGATGGAGCATGAAGTGGTGCATTGTGACCCGTTTCTCTTTCCCATTTGCCGTGGAAATCGTATGCCATCAAATTAATAAAATCCAAATAACTAAAAGTGATAGATAATGATAATAATAAATGTTGAGACAAATGCGGTTTTTTTTATAACTAGTTTGATACATAAAAACAACCTGACCTTGAATTATTCTAATAAACTTTTCGTTTTTTTAAATGTAAATTTTTATTTAAAAAGTAAAAGTTGGGAAAGTAAAGACCAAAGGTAAAAATATTTTTTTTTTTAAACCGCGATATTGGTAATACTTATTTTATACCTGGTATTTAACATTATTATTATTATTATTATCATTAATATTAATTTTTGTTGTCGCAAAGGGTTATTTAAAAATGACGTAAAATTATTTAAAATTTACGTAAGAAATTATTATTAATTTTATCATTTGTTTCTCCTCCAAAAAAACAAAAAAATTATTACGGTAATAAAAATGTTTTAATTAATTATTATTATTATTATTTTTAAATAGGAATTCCCGGTCGAATTTTCTTACTAATAGAACGTTTTATTATTATTAATCATCGGGTTACCGGGTGTTGTGTCGGGTAGTACCGAATCCAGGTGTTTGAATTTTTTTATTCGTTTCGTCATCTAAAGAAAAAATTATTTTATTTGTCATAAGGAAAAGTTTAAACAAAAAATTATTATTATTATTATTATTATTATTATTATTATTATTATTATTATTATTATTTTTAATAATACGTAATTAATATTACGTGTTATCAAAATCGGTGAAGAAAAATTAATTTATATATCGTAAAGAAAAGAATTTTATTGTCTTGTGGACACGCCTTGTCCTCCGTTTTATTACCCGTAACACGCACACACGCACGCACGCACGCACACGATTCGCAAAAATCCGGCGCGAATTTTTTTTCCTTTTTTTAAAGGTCATGTTGTAGACGGTGTGTTGTGTTTTTAAAAGTATTTAAACCGTTTGGAAAAGAGAGAGAGAGAAATTTTACGAAATAATTAAAAAGAATAAGTAGAAGAAGAAGAAAAAATATAAGATCGAAAGGTACAAACAACAAACGCGGTTGTTGGTTTCGCATGCACTCTAAGGTCGGACAAACACGACGCTAAGGTCTTTTTTCATTGCTTATTCATTTCGTCGATCAGGAAGAAGAAAATTTTTCGTTAAAATAATGAAAAATTAATTATCGTTTCGTATTAACGGTACGTAAATAAACAAACCTGGCAACGGCAGGTACGTCGTAACCGGATCTTATATTGTCTGGACCGACAGGTACGGCAGCGGTTAATAACAATCTAGGTTTTTTAACTTCTTGCGCTTCGGCTTCGAAAGCTTCTCTGAGTTCTGAAAAAAAAAAAATTAAAAAAAACGGCGGTTATTTCTAGAAACTTTTAGAAATTTTTACTATTATTATTATTATTATTATTTAGAATTTTGTAAGTATTTGCTGCGGTTTATTAATTCGCGATTCAAATAAAAAAAAAAACTTTACTCAATAACGTATGACGAATTTAAATAGTTTTTTGCGGTTTTCAAGAGTACAAACGACAAACGAAAATAATAATAATAATAAGTATTTAAAAAAAAAAAAGTTAATATGAGGTCAAGGAGTAATTTTTTTTTTTTTTTTGTTTTCTGTTTTTTGTTGTTGTTGTTGTTGTTTGTTAAATTAAAAGAAGTTATTTTTATAATAATGGTGCGAAATATTTCCATGTTTATATTATACGCGGTTGTGGCGGTGGTGGTGGTGGTGGGGGCGATGGTGGTGTTGTGGAATTTCCAGTGCCACCAACTCATTTAAAAAAAAAAAAAAAAAAGGGTTTTTGTTTCGGTTTGTTCAGGTAAAAAAAAAAAAAAAAATTTTTATTAAACGAATGTGAAACGTTTACAAACGTTTTACTATTATTATTATTATTATTATTATTATTATTATTATTATTATTATTATTACTATTACCTTTTAATAAAAAGACGTAATTTTTCTTATCATCTGAACCTTTTGGATATTCCCAATCGATATCGAGACCGTCGAAATTTCTATCTCTCAAATAAGGTATGGCGCTGTATATGAAAGTTTGTCTAGAATATCTCGAAGATGACATGTCTTTAAATTTTTGAGTTCCGAATGACCAACCACCTGAAAAATAAATAGTAATAATAATAATATATTTAATTAGTATTATGCGATCGATGAATCGATTAATCGATCGATCGATAAATAATCGTCTTTGCTTTTTGTTTTTATTGGTGGGGGGGGGGAATTATAAATGTCAGTTTTGTTTTATTTTTTCGGTTTATGGTTTTAGTTTTAAAAAAAATAAAAGTAAATTATTATTATTATTATTATCTCGTAGTTTTTTTTTTATTGATGTCAGGTAACGAGGATCTCTGTCTCTTTCTCTCTCTATCTTACGTCAAAACTCAGGAATTATTGTCTTGATGACCTTGGGAAATTTTTTTTTTTTTTTTTTTTTTTTTTTTGACAAAGTTTTAGCAAGGAAAAAGTCAAATTGTAAAACAAATTTTTGTTGTTTGTTGTTTGTTGTTGTTGATAATGTCTCGGTCACGTGCCAAACGATTACAAAGATTTAAGAGAAAAAAAAAAATCTCACCGATGGCAAGTAAAATTTTCAAATTGGGATTAGATTTTTTCAATTTCATTATTCTATCGTACAATCCGACTTTTCCATCTTTCGTTTCGTCGTTGGATTCGAACGACGAAAGTTTTCCCTTTTTCAACCATCCGAAAGCGTAAATGACGTGAGTGCAAAGATCTGGTTGTATGTCTTCTGGTAAAAATTTCCCATGTTTCGGACGATACTGCGACCAGTTTGTATAATAACAAACAACCTGAAAATGTAAATCGTCGTTACAAATTTTTTATTATTAATATTATCAAAACAAACGTAATTAAAAAAATTATTATTATTATTCGTCACCTTGTATTCTTGTTCGTCTGAACTATCGCTAGATTTTCTCGTGGCAATAGAATTAACGCTCGATTTATTTTTCACACGAAATCTATTTACACTTGCCGATATTTCTTGATCTCCTTTTTTAATCAATGCGCTCGACGTAGGCCTTCTTAATTTTCTTCTGACACCTTTAAATAAAGAAAAAAATTATGATTATTATTATTAATGATTTTATGATTATAATAATAATAATAATAATAATAATAAATTATAGGAAAAGTTATTCGTTTTGATTTGTGAAAATTTATTAAACAAGGACACGTGCCACCGACATTCTATTTTTAATAGATAAAAAAAAATGTTTGACTCGCCGTAGCAAAAAATGTTTGTTTGCGCTTACTCAATATAAGACTAAATCAAAAGACCTTGAACGGTTTTTTTTTTTTTTTTTAAATAAACCTTTGGGTGTGGTGACTCGGAGCGTTCAAATCTCTTTTGCGTTCTTCTTAATAAGTCAATATACTATCAATGAATAAGGGCTACCAACCACAATTAATCAAACAACGAAGACAAAGACAAACAGACAAAGACAAACGAACGAACAAAAAAAATTCTCAAAGTTTTCCGGATGTTTTTTTTTAAGGAGCTTACACGCACGCACACGCACGCACACGCATATTTAAATCCAACCTTTTCTTATTATTATTAATATTAATTACGTAATAATTAAGTAATTAAATTCAAAATAAAATAAAACGAGTTTTTTTTTTTTTTTTAAATACTTTATGATCTTAAAACTTAATTTAAAAAAATTTTATATAAATCAAATCGATCGTGCCTTGCTCTCTCCTGCCACGTTTAATACAAAAATGTATTATAAAAGTTAAGGCTGATTGTTAGAGAATTTACTGGACAACAACAACCAGTTAACATTTTAACAAAAAAAATAATAATAATTTTTTTCGGAGGGAAAAGGCATTAGAACATAATAAATAAATTATTGTTAAACTGATTTATAACGATAATAATAATAATAATGATATTAGAAAGGTGTAAAACAACAACAGATATTATAACAATAACAATTGTAATAATGATAATGATGATAATAATAATAAGGGCGGAGTTTTTTTTTTTTTTTTATGTAACACTTTGACGATTGTGCGTAAAAATTTTGGTATACAGTTTTAACACAATTAAGATGTGTAACGGAAAGAGTGTGACGCCATTTTTAAAACTGCAACAACAACAATTTATTTTCAATAGGTTTCTACAAATAAAGAAAAAAATAATAATGATAATAATTAATAAGATAAGAGAGTAATAAATTTTACGGATGGCGTGAACTTATACATATATAATTTTTTTTAATCTAAATACGTAAGAAAAATATTTGAATTTGATTGTTTGAAAGTGGGGTGTGGGTGGGGGTGGGGAAGAGGGTAAAAATGATTTGCGACGTTTGTTAAAAAAAAAAAAGAAGGTTAAAACCACGATTCGTCGCTTACCTTGTGCAGAATCCATAAACTGCCCTAAGAACAAGAGCGTTAGACATATCGTGTAAATGTATCCTTCCCACCTTGGCAATAACTGTAAATAAAAAAAATAAAAAAATTTGTTTTTAATTTTATGCTTTTAAAATTGAGAGTTAATGTTAAAAGAGAGAGAGAGAAAGAGAGAGAGAGAGAGAGAGAGAGAGAGAGAGAGAGAGGTAAATCGTAATTAAAGAGAGTGTTTGTTTAAAAGAAAAAAAAAAGTAGAACAAACAAAAATAAAAAATATAAATTGTAATTCATTTTACTTTTATTCTATTTTTGGGGTGATAGCCATTTTGAATTTATAAAATTTTTCTATTAAAACTTAAGTTTATGAGAATAACAGAAACAACAACAACAACAACAACAACAACAAACGACAACAACAACAAACGACATAATTTTAAGATCAAATCAAAACGTTTGTCGTCGTAAACATGTTTTGAAACAATTTTATATAAATTAAATTTTTGTGTTTTTCACTCTAATGACTGCCCAATTTTACTTTCGTTCATTTTGAAAAACGAAAAAAAAAAAATTTTTTTATTTAAATTTTTTCTCATCGTGGTTTTAGATAATTCTTTTAATTCGATTAAAAATTTTTAAAAAAAAAACTTTCTTTTTTTTTTTTTCCTTCAATGAAATGACAAAAAAAAAAAAAAAATACGTTTCGGGTTCAATTTTTTTTTTTTTTCTTAATAAAACTTTCTAGAAAAATGACAAAACATTTTATTAAAAATTATTTTTTAACGAAGGTACGCATTATCATTATTATTATTATTATTATTATTATTACAACAACGACGACGACAACGTAACAAAATAATCGTTTTTAAACGGGCCCAATCACTTTTTTTTTTTTTTTTTTTTGTTCGAATTAACGAAACTCTTAAATATTATTGTGATTTTTTTTCTCTCTCTCTCTTTCCAAATACTTCCAGTGCATAGATAATAACTGGAAGACAACAACGAAATAGGTGATTAATGATAATAATAATAATAATAATAATAGTGAGTAAAGTGAACGGTCGAAAAATTTGCAAATCAGGCATGAAGGTATACACATTGAATTCAATGACACGTGTCACGGTTTTGTTGAACGATAAATATTAATGTAATAATAATAATAATAACAACATTGCTACCATTACCACCGATGAAGTAATAATAATAATAATAATAATGACAACAACAACAACCACAGGTGAATAATAATCCGATATGAATTTATTACGGTAATGCTAACGAAAACTCAAAACGATGACGGCGATGACGATGACGACAACAACAACAACAACAACAACAGCAGCAGATGACAAAACAAAAAAAATCTTGAAATTAAAATTTTCGTTAATGTCACATGATAATTTCTTAAGAGTTTCAAAATATAAAAAAAAAATAAAAATAAAATATTATTAAAAGATTTGGAAAACGTGGAACGAGAAGACGTTTCGGTATTCGTTTTTTTTTTTTTTAACCTCGAAAAATTTGGTCGCTTACAAAATTAAACGAATCCGTGATAACATATCATTTTTATTACGTCATTAAGTCGCACGGATAAAAACAACACGAAATGTTTAATTGAACTTAAAAACAAAAAAAAAATTTTTCTCTCTCTCTTTCTCTGTCTCTCTCACTCCTTCTTTCTCTCCATTATAATTTGTGAAAGCCATTAATTTTTTTTTACGATTTATGATTTATTATTATTATTAATATTAATAATAATAATTAAAGTTATTAATTTCTCTGCCTCCTCCTCCTCCTCCTCTTCCTTCTCCTCTTCCTCCTCCCCTTTTAACGTAACCTTTTTCCGTTATCGATAAAATCATGGGAGAGATAGGATGGTTGTTGTCGTTGTTGTTGTTGTTGTTAACATTTGTTTATTTTTAAAATATGTAAGTGCGCGGCACACGATCTCTTATAACAAAGTCACGATCGGATTTACGTTTATCTTTTCTTTTTACTTAGATTTTACCTGCTAATTATACTTTTAAAAATGTCACAACAATAAATAATTAATATAAGAGGAAACCAGAAAAAAATTTGAAAGTAAATGTTTATTTCGTGAACGTCGTCGTCGTCGACGTCGACGTCGTCTGGTAGGTAAGGCGCAAATCGAAATATTTTGATGGAAAATGTTTTAAATCATTATCATCATCATCATCGTCGTCGTTTTAAGTTTTTGTTGTTAGCATTTCGTTCGAAAGGGAAAATAATAATGTCGCCATATTAATAATAAAAGTTTAAATAAATAAAGTCACACAAGAAAAAAGCAAAAACTTTCCTTTTTCTCCAGGGCAACTCATGGAAAAACAATTAACATTTATATAAATTAATATTAATAATAATAATAATAATGATAATAATGTTGTGGAATTAAAATTTCATGTGATCGAAGGTAAACCAATGTATAGAATTACTGGTAAACATTTGCAATTGGATTTCGTCGTCATCGTCACGATGATGATGATGGTGGTGACGGTGACGGTGACGTTTAGGAGAAATATTATAGGGCTCGTGTTGTGGGGTTAGAACAGTGTGAGTGATTGAATAATGCGAGTGGAAACAAAAAAATTTTGATTTTAAAATATTGGCAGCATTGTTATATGTACACACAGAAAGAATTCCAGACATCATCGGGTTTAGCCAAAAGCCGTCGACCTTGCTACGTAATTATTTTTTTCTGTTTTTTTTTTTATTTTTTTTCTCCATTCGTGCCAATTCATTACCGGAAACTTTATTCGTTAATAAAAATCTTTCTCTCTCTCTCTCTTACTCATTTGCAAAAAAAAAACAAAGAGAGAGAGAGGGTGGGAGGGAAGGGTGGGAACAAAAAAAATTTCTTTTGCAGTTGTGAAAACAAAACAAAAAAATTCGTTTGAGGGGGTTAAACCGCGAAAAAAGAAAAAAAAACAAAAAGAATTTTTAAGGTCGGCGACTTTTTCTTTTTCATTCTGCTTTTAATTTTTTTTTTTTATTGTTTTCATCGACTTAAAGTTTTAACCGACGAAACGTCACGCAAATGCGTTTTTTTTTAATTCCAATATTGCGTGGTTTTTTTTTTGCGTAAAAAAAAAATGCGTGAAAGATTACATTTAAAATATGGGTATGGTACGTGTCCACGTTGTTGGCCATCGATCGACGATGGATTACCTTGAAAAATTTTTTTTCTTATTTTTTTTTCTTACGTTGGCATGAATGTTGCGTTTTAATTAGAGCGTATTCCTGGTTTTTTTTTTAAAAGAAAAAGGAAAAATCCTAGTTTGGATTAAAACAAAAAAAAAAAAAAAAAGAAAACGTGCGGAGGTTTAGTTTTTTTTTAAGCCTCTTATACTTCCCTATGAAATAACACATAACGCGATAAAATGCCTCGATCGATAAATCAAGGTTGATCGTTTCGTTTCGTTAAAAAAAAAAAAACCGTCGAAAAAAAAAAAAAATTACAGAACACAAAAGTCTTTATTAACAAATTATACTTCCTTCACTTCAAAATGTTTTCCCCTCCCTCCCTCCCTCTCTCTATTCTTCAAATCTTATTTTAACACCTGTTTCGTCATAAAAGGTGTGAAAATTTATTACTTAATAATTTTTGTAATTTTTTCCTCACTTCTTCCGTCATTAAAAAAATTCACCATCCGCCATTTATAATAATAAATAATAATAATATTCAAATGATTATTATTATTTTTTTTTCCTTTTACGGGAAAAATAATTTTTTATAAAAATTCGTTTCCAAAGGAAAAAGCTATTTTTTGTTATTTACTCTATGACTTTTTTAAAAATTATTTACCATTCATTTTTTTTTCTTCTAATTTATTTTGAATTCAAATCGTCAATAATCGATTTAAAAAGAAAAAAAAAAATTTACATTTAACGATTGAGACGTATCGACGACGACGACAACGGATTTTCTAATTCCACGTTAAAAATCGTGTAAATATTTAAATTAGAATAATATTCGCGAGTGATTTGTTGTAATTTAAAAAAAAAAAATTTATTTATTTAAATCGTGACGTGAAAGATTTGCGGTTTTAAAAAAATGACAAATTTTACACGTTGAATTTCGTAACGGAAAAAAAATATTTAAAAAAAAAAAATTGATTGATTGATTGATTGATTTATTTGTTTTTTTTTTTTCATTCTGTCTCTCTTTCTTTTTCGTTCTTTATGAATTATTAATAAAAAATAAAAACAAGCAAACGAGGGGGTCGCCATTTTTTTTTTTTTTTATTTTATTCCCACCAATCTTGCCAAAATGGAAGGAAATAATAATAATAATAATAATAATTTTTTTTTACGAACGATGAGAAAAAGCGCGGAGGGAATAATAAACTATTTACCACCGTAACTTTTTAGTAATGAAGTAATAATTTTTAGTAATAAATTTTTTTTAAAAAAATTACTTTTTCAAACGAGTTTTCATCGTCAATGTTTCGAAATTAAAAGAATCATCGATGGTATCTTTTTTTTTTTTTTTTTTTGCTCCGAGCAAATTTTATGTAATAATACCAAAAAGTGGAGAGAATAATTTTATTTTTAAAATTTATATTTACTACTACCACTACTTGATAAGTGGCAGAAGAAAAATGTGGGAAAATGCGAATGAATAAATTAAAAAATTAAATAATTTTTTTTATTTTTTTAAATTCTCTCTTCCTTTAAATCACTTCAAGGACCGTTAAAAGAAAGCAATAAAAGAGAAAAAAGTACCTTCACTCTCTAAATATACTTTCTTTCTTCAAAAAACATCCTCATTTCTAAAGCCACGATGATTTATTAAAATCATTTTGTTTTTTATCGTAAAAATATTTATTTTGGATGATTTTAGGTGATAACCGATTTACGATTTGGGATTTACGTTTTACTTCCGTTTGTTTTTATTATTTTCCTTATTATTATTATTATTATTATTATTATTATTATTATAAAAAATCCTAGAGAGAGAGAGATAGAGAGAGAGATGGAAAATTTGTTTGTTTTTAAAAGTTCCTTTCAATTTTTTCAAAATTTTTAATTCTTC